TATATATATATATATATATATATATATATATATATATATATATATATATATATATATATAAAAGTTGGTTTCATTAGGTTTTGAGTTAATTTATCTTAGTTACATTATTTTTAATATATTTATAGTATTTTGATGAAGATATCAAAAATATTATAAGTCTGTGAAAAAATAATGCAATTGATAGTATAACTCGTATAAATAGAAATTAGGCCGATCCATAGAGTATCAGGATAGCAACACCGTGTTGGGTCTTGTCAGATGATATTTTCTTTTCGAAAAATCGTCCAAAAATATTAAGTAATTTCGGAGATTTGAAAAAGGGTAGATATGTAAAAACATCTAATAATGTCGCTTAGAGAGAAAGAGAGAGAGAGAGAGCGAGTGAGAGCGAATCCGGAAGGAAAAGGGCAGTAATAGCTACGGTATCAACAAATGCCTCTGGGGAAGTACTACTGCGACTACTGCGACAAGCAGTTCCAGGACACCCCGGCCGCCCGCAAGCGCCACTTGCAGGGTCTCCACCACCACCGCGCCCGCGCCCTATGGTACGACTCTTTCAAAGGTATCTTCTCTCTCTCTCTACTCGTATATTCTGGCACATTTGTCTGCCGATATTTCCTTTTTCCCTCTTTGAAGCATTCCATCGAACATCTTAAGATCTCTTCCTCTCCACGCCACGCAGAACCGCATGGAGCACCTCTTTTCCAACCTTATGGAAGCCTGGCCAAAGGCGTCTGCCATCATTTTGTGCGCACGGTAAAATGCTTCCCCATCTTAGATTGATATTGAGAGAGTATGATGGATTTGGAGTACCAATTGGTAGGGGAACTGCGGAATTCGAGATTCTGTTTGTTGGTTTTCGTGATATGATCCGCCAATCCCTAATCTTACTTTTTTGGTAGGGGGTTTGCAAGTATGGGGATACATGCAAGTATTTTCATCCAAAGCAGGATGTGCTAAACCCTACACCTGCTGTGACTGGTGAGTTGCTGATACAAATCTAGGAAGCAGAACCAATTTCTTTTCTTTTTTCCTTATTCTTTTATGGATGTGATGCCATAATGATGGAAGCTTAGAGGGTTATGGGTGTATGTACTTATGCAAACTTGCTAATTTTTATAAAGAGATTTGATGTAGAACAAGAAATACCAACTTTTAATTCGGTAGAAACCTATCATATTGGTTCAAATATTTTCTGCCAAATGACTATTCCTCCTATCATCGCTATATTGGTTTGACTCCAGTTCATCACCACCTGAAGTAATGGCTTCTTGAGAGAGTCTAATTTTTATTTTTTTTAGATAAGATGCATAAAGGATGTATGTCCCATCTAATTACTTGAATATGCATGGAGTTTGGAGTTTGATCGAGATAAAATGTGGTACGCCAGTGTCTAGGTTCTCATAAGGTGAAGTGAGATATAATTTCTTTTATTTATCAATTGTTTCTATGACTATATTTTAGTTTCTTCATTCACATTAGCTGTAAAAGAGCCTTTTTAAAATTGACTGATAATCCCGTCCCCAAACCCTCCTCTTTGTTGAGCCTAGTTCTTCACTCACTTTTTCTTCCACCTAATGTGTTTGTGAAACTATTTACTGAAGAAATCCAAACATTTGGAACATGATCCACCTAGCATTCCTTTTGCAAGTGAATGAGTTCTGGGCTATTATCATGAAACAATTCCATTCAGAGGACTTAGGAGGATGAAGGATGCAATGACTTGGGATGAAATATGTTTATTGAAGTCCTTATGTAATTTTTTGGTCATGACAGACAGAGTCCAATACATTGACCAAATTAGAAGGAATGAAGAACTTCCTGCAAACTATTAGGCCCTCCTAGTTCCATATGAAAATCATCAATCATTATTTACATTGTCCTACTCTTCACAGTGTTATTTAATTCTCAGATATAGCTGAAATTATTAAAGGAAGAGAGACATTATGCGGGCAAGGAGAAAGAAAGAATGACTAACCTTGAATCGAGGTTGAGGATGATTGATGCAAGGGAACTAAGGTTGGTATGGAGAATTCTCTGCTCTTAATCTCTCTTTGGATCTACCATTGGCAGGAAAGGCTGGGGGCACAAGTGACCATATCCTTCTTGTTGGTCAAGCTATTCCTTAAACCTCAAGGAAATATAAGGCAAGAGAACTCTACAAATTGCAAAAATTTCTGAAATAATACCTCTCTCCCAGAGTATCTCCTTATCATTGCCAAGTCAAAGTCATGACGTTTGATCCTCCATATGTTGTGGATGGTTGTTGAAGCAAGCCATGACAATCAGTTGTTTACATTCAGAACATCTGGAAACTGTTTTGAGGCTGCTTGTTGCATCAAGTGTAGACAAATTTTGGTTTTTTTATTTTAGTTTCTTGCTACAATCATCTAGTTTCGTCGTTGCTTTGCTGTAAAGAAATAGTACTTGTTATTAGGTTTGTATGGTGCACAGATGAACAATCAGAAAGCCTGATGTCTCCAGGTCCATTATGTGTCTGCATCATGATCTATATAAATTGTAATATCTCAAGTTTGGTGGATTCTGTTGTTGAGCAAATTGCGAGCTTCATCAATAACTAAATAGTTTTGTTTGGAAAAAATGTCTGCACTTAGCATACGGTAGAGAGAACTTGGGAAAGCATCTGTGCTCAACCCTCCTGAAATTGCTGGCTTCTAATATGCAGGGATGAAGTACATGGAGGCGATACAAATCCAAAATAGCTTGGCTAGCAATCTACCAGGAGACAGCATGTCAGGTAAGTTTACTTAGCTTTACATCCATATATAAGTTATATGGGTATAGCTTCACACCCATCGATGTTACGTTGAGTAACCATTCTGGAAATTATGATTAAAATGCTTCACTATTTATTTTTATGTTACAGCTCTACATAATTTTCATTTAGAGATGAGTGTCGCATTTCTGGAGTCCCACTAGGTTTTAATAGTTGACCACTTCTCATGCTACTAGTGCTGCTACACTGGATTCTTCTTGGTTGGAAAAGAACATTGTTCTGATGCATGACGTTCAATGTACTCGATTAAATAGGAGACAAAGGAGTCTTGATTTATTCCTTGAATCACAATGTACTTGATATTACTTAATTAGCTTTTTCCTTGAGTTTCTGCCTTCTGCTTTGTTGCTTATGTCTTTTCCATCAGTTCTCAAGTATCTAGATTGTCTGATACCTTCAAATAGTTAAAATAATTATGAGTACAGCTCCGACTAAAATGCTTCACTATTTATTTTTAGGTTACAGCTCTACATATTTTTCACTTAGAGATAAGTGTCACATATTTGGAGTTCACTTGGTTTTAATAGTTGTCCACTTCTCATGCTACTAGTGCTGCTATACTGGATTCTTCTTGGTTGGAAAAGAACATTGTTCTGATGCATGATGTTCAATGTACTCGATTAAATAGGAAGCACAAGGAGTCTTGATTTATTCCTTGAATCATAATGTACATGATGTTAATATATTAGCTTTCTTCTTGAGTTTCTGCCTTCCACTTTGTTGCTCATGTCTTTTCCATCGGTTCTCAAGTTTCTAGATTGTCTGATACCTTAAAATGGTTAAAATAATTATGAGTACAACCACTAATACTTGTTCTTCTCGCTTCTTGTATCATCATGTATATAACATGTTAATCAGACAGGCAATCATCTGACGTATCATCTTTTTTGTTGCTTACAGGAAATATCATTAATCAGGGAGGAATTTCATGGGGCAACTTGCCTCCATCATTGCGACCTCCTCCAGAAGGTGGTTACCCACCACTTCTATTTCTGGAATGGGGATAAATCTTGCTGACATTTCTAACCAATCATGTTTTGCTGTGATGCTGTCATACACATAACAACATTACCAAGGCACTTCCGGTCACATGCTCACAGTAAGAAGTTCTTGAGCATCTACATGAACTGTCATGATATACTGGACTTTGAATGTATTATCCAACTTTAGGTTGGTCCTGATCCAAAAAGACGTGGTGTGTCTCTGGTAATCGAGTGGTGGAGTCCTGTAGCTGTAGCTGGTGATGGCCGTACTTTATTATCTGTTCTTGATTACCTTCTTGGTTGTGTCTTTTCTTTCTTTTTCTTCGTCTCTTTTTTTATTAATAATTGATGGTGGTCATCAACTTACACTTTTAGATTTTTAAAAATGATTATCGGTTGGTACATTAAAAAAAAAAAGGTTATTTTCTAAGTAAAATACTTAATTCAATATAGAGTCATTTTGAATAAAAAATGGTCACTATATAAAATGTTTTGATAATATATTGCTAGTGAGAAGATTTTGATATAAATAGAAATCATAACTATATAAAATATTTAAGATCCTTTCTCGAAGATGTTTTCTTTTTTCTTTTTATAAAACATGTCTAAATTTAAATATACTGTATATTCGACAAACATAGTGTTCCTTTTTAGATGGCCATTTAATTTTGAATTCACAGAGATTTGATCATTTACATTTCTGTATTTTTTTTTTGTTATTGTTTAATATTTGTAGTGTTGAAATGCAAGGTGAGCAGCAATATAAAAGGAGCCTTAATGTATCCAATCATCTCCAATAGCATTAAGAGACCAACTTGAGCATTTTGAATGGCCACACAAGGATTAGTACAAGAACTGGCATTATTAGCGTTGCAGCGTGCGGCGTGCAGAGAAAAATAGAGAGAGAAAGATTAGGTTTCTGAGTTTTCTGCTTGACGATCGGTGGCCAAACGTTGTGAGTTTCGGCCCAAATTTTATGTGGAGAATCCTTGTAGCAAACTCTACAATCCTAACGGTGTTGATATGCAGTTTACCATCTCTAAGGTATTTTCCTGTGATATCCACTTTGTGAGACCTAGAATTCTCTTTTGAGGAGATCCATTATATGTGACGAAGATATGCTATTCTTGAGCCAAGATCTATGATCTTGATGTTATTCTGATCCTCTAGTTATTCTAGAGAAGACCTACTGTAAACCTGTTATCATTATTATTGATAGTGGAAGTTTGAGGTGGACTATAGTCTCGTGATTTTTTCCACATTGGGTTTTCCACGTTAAAAAGATTTGGTTTCACTATGTGATTGATTTTTGCTCTATTGTTTATGTTGTGCTAGTTGATATTTTCATTTGGATATCAAGTTGGTATTTTGATGAGGAACCTATTTTAATACACAAAGAGGGAAAGAATTATTCTGCTTTAACAGGTTTCTTCCCAACAAGTGGTATCAAAGCAACAGGTTATTTGGTGCTAGTTTTCTTGTGTGATTGAAATGGAGCAGTCAGATGGTATGATTAAATTGAACTCATCAAATTATTCAACTTGGAGGCGTCTGATGGAAGATTTGCTATATTACAAAGATTTGTATAAGCCTATCAAGGTTAAAGATAAACCTTCTACTATAGACGATAAAAAATGAGAAGTTCAACATAGAAAAGCCATTGCTTATATTAGAAGATGGATGGATATAAACTTGCATGAGCATATTTTAGATGAAATCAGAGCTGATGTTGTTTGGCAAAGGTTAGAAAATCTCTTTGCGAAAAAGATAGTGGGAAATAGAATTTCTCTCCTCAGAAGGCTTGTAAATTTGAAGTATAAAGATGGTGGTAACATTATTGAGCACATAAGCCTATTTCAGAGTCTTGCAAACAAGTTGGTTGCTATGAAAATGAATATAGATGATGAGATGCATGGATTATTACTTCTTAGCTCTTTACCAGAAAGTTGGGAAACGTATGTGGTGACTATTTGTAACTCTACGCCAGATGGGACTCTAACCATAGATATGGTTAAAGACAGTTTGCTAAATGAAGATGTCAGAAGGAAAGAATAGGGTGAATCTTCTTCTGGGGCATTTGTTACTGAAAAACAAGAAAGACGTAGAAGAAGTCATAGCAGAAATCCACATGGATATAGAGGAAGATCTAAGTCTAGAAGAGATATCAAATGTTTTCACTATAATAGGACAGGTCACATGAAGAAAGAGTGTAGGTTTTGGAAGCGAGAACAGAATGAAATGAAGAAAAATAAGAAAGAGACCAATACAGTTGCTGCTGAAGGTAATATCACTATTGTTTGTGATGACAGTTGTGTTAGTCTTGTAGCTCAGGACAGTAATTGGGTAATTGACTCTGGTGCTTCATTTCATGTTACTTCTCATGGTGATTTCTTTAGATCTTACACTGCTGGTGATTTTGGTAATGTCAGAATGGGAAACGGTGGTACATCTAAGATTGTGGGTATTGAAGATATTTGCTTGGAGACCAGTATTGGGAGCAAATTGATACTCAAAGATGTAAGGCATGTTTCAGATATTCGTCTTAACTTGATATCTACAGGTAGACTTGATGATGAGGGTTTTGCACATTATTTTGGTGAAAGCAAATGAAAACTCACTAAAGGTTCTCTAATTGTGGCAAAAGGAAAGAAGATTAATTATTTTTATGTCATGGAAGCTAAGCTACATAAAGGAGAGATTAATGCAATTCAAAAAGGTGAAAGTATAGATCTTTGGCATAAGAGGCTTGGTCATATCAGCGAGAAGGGACTTCAAACTCTTGCTAGAAAGTAGTTCTTACCAGAGTTGCAAGGTACATCTCTTAAATCTTGTGATCATTGCTTAGCTGGAAAAACACATAGAGTTGCATTTCAGACATATCCATCATCTAGAAGATCAGATGTTATTGATTTAGTTCATACTGATGTTTGTACTATGCAAACTAGAACTCTTGGAGGTGCTCTTTATTTTGTTACTTTTATTGATGACCATTCTAGAAAAATGTGGGCTTTTTCTTTGAAATCTAAAGATCAGGTACTCGATGCTTTCAAGGAGTTTCATGTCAGTGTTGAAAGAGAAACTAGCAGAAAACTAAAGTGTATTCGATCAAATAATGGTGGCGAGTACAGGGATCATTTTGATAATTATTGCAGGTTTCATGGTATCATGCTTGAGAAAACAGTTCCTAAAACTCCTCAACAGAACGGTGTGGCAGAAAGGATGAACAGAACCATTGAAGAAAGGATTAGGTGTATGCTTTTTCACGTCAAGTTACCAAAGTCATTTTGGGGGGAGGCTATGAGAACTACAGTTGACCTCATAAATCTTTTTCCATCAATTCCTCTAGAAGGTAATGTTCTAGAGAGAGTATGGAGAGGAAAAGATATATCTTATAATCATTTGAGAGTCTTTGGGTGTAAAGCATTTCTTCATATTCCCAAAGATAAAAGGTCCAAGCTTGATAGTAAAGCAAAAGCATGTATCTTCTTGGGATATGGTAATGAAGAGTTTGGGTACAGATTATGGGATCTAGTGAACAAGAAGATTATTAGAAGCAGAGATGTTGTGTTTCTTGAAGACCAATTGTTTGATGATGGTGATAATGTTGAGAAGCCAAAAACCTCTGTTTATATTCCTTGGAGTTTGGGTCCAGTTCCTTCACCTATAGTTCATGATGATCATGGGGGAGATGAACAAGAAGATTGTGGTGAGAATACCAGTGATGATACTCCTACAGTTGATGATGCTGAACCAACTGAACAGGCACCTCCACCACTAGTTGAGATTCCATTGAGAAGATCCACTAGAGAGCGACAACCCTCTACCAGATATCCTCCACATGAGTATGTTATGCTTACTAACGGGGAGAGCCAGAAACTTACCAAGAATCTATTCTATATGAGAATAAGAATGAGTGGGTTAAAGCCATGCAAGAAGAGATGAGATCCCTACTTGAGAACCACACCTATGACTTGGTAAAGTTGCCTAAAGAGAAGAAAGCTGTTAGAACCCTTTTTTTGAGCTTTTGAATAATGTTTATTGAGTCTGTTTAGTCCAGTTGTTTATTGAGTCGGTTTGGTTCAGTTAGAGTCAAGTAGAGGTTTATTTAATATTTATTTATTATTAGAGTTCAAGTCCTGATGAACTCTGTGTGGAACTCTATAAATAGGGATGCAACTGCTTCTTTTCAGTAATCAATGAAAAATACTATTCTGTCTTTGGACAAACCCTAGGAGGCCGATCCCCTCGAAGTGGTCAAGGAGGGTCGATCCCCTCGAAGTGATCAAGGAGGGCCGATCCCCTCGAAGCGATCAAGGAGGTCGATCCCCTCGAAGTGATCATTATCATTCCATTTTCTCCCATTTCTTCCACGATAAGACTTTAGGGTCTTATCATTTGGTATCAGAGCCTACGATAAGACTTTAGGGTCTTATCATTTGGTAT